GAAGTTCAAGTGTAAATAGTTTTGAATCATGAAAAAGACCTTTTGAGAAATGTCTCAAGTTCTTGAATATTAAATTGTATTAAAATGTTTGTGGTTACAAGTTAAAGTTCTCTGAAGATTTAAAACTTATTTCTGTTAATATTTAACCTATAATTAAGTTAAGAGTTTGTCTTTTTTTTTGTAAAGTTTATGGTAAACAGTAATTTAAATTTTAAGTACTATTATTAAGTTTATTGTGTGTTTTATTTTAAAATTACACAAGGTTATAAAGGGTGGTTTAGAGTTTATGATGTGTGACATTGTGTTTAGAGAAACTTAGATTTTTAAACGGGTCATAAATATATGGAAGGGAGTACTTCAGAACGGTACACGTTTTACATTAATAAACATTAAGTTAAAATTCTAGAATTTTCTGTAAAGTTAACAGAAGCAGAGATTATTATATAGAGCCTTTGAAGACATGTTTGACCGTAAGAAACATTATATCCAACTAGTATTTTCTAGTTACAAAGCCCCTGATTTAGTCACAAACAAAAATTCACTCCTACTATATGTATGTCCTTTCTTATACTATGTCAGTTTATTAGTTTCTTAACATTTAATTTAGGGAAATAATATTGATTTATATAACATGACTTCTGCTGCATTAACATGTGGATTTTATTCCGTCCTTCTTGGTAAATAAAAACTTAAATATAAATTTTGATAATTTTTTGGAAAATTTAAAATTTTTTTTATGTGTTACAGCTGGCAGCCTTGTAAATTACAGTCGCAGACCCAAAGGTAACTGTCAGAAGTGTTGTCTAATAGACTGGGAAGATGATATAAAGTATTTACTGTATACCAGGTAAGTTCAATTCTAGTTCTGTTCTAGTTTTGTTCTAGTTCTGTTCTAGTTCTGTTCCAGTTTTGTTCTAGTTTTGTTCTAGTTTTGTTCTAGTTTTGTTCTAGTTTTTTTCTAGTTGTGTTCTTGTTCTGTTCTAGTTGTGTTCTGTTCTGTTCTAGTTGTGTTCTGTCTGTTCTATCTATGTTCTAGTTGTGTTATAGTTGTGTTCTAATTGTGTTCTAGTTGTAGTCTAGTTCTGCTCTGTTCTAGTTCTGTTCTAGTTCTGTTCTAGTTCAGTTATAGTTCAGTTCTAGTTCAGTTCTAGTTCAGTTCTAGTTCAGTTCTAGTTCAGTTCTAGTTCTGTTCTAGTTCTGTTCTAGTTCTGTTCTAGTTCTGTTCTAGTTCTGTTCTAGTTCTGTTCTAGATCTGTTCTAGTTCTGTTCTAGTTCTGTTCTAGTTCTGTTCTAGTTCTGTTCTAGTCCTGTTCTAGTCTGTTCTAGTTCTGTTCTGTTCTAGTTCTGTTCTAGTTCTGTTCTAGTTCTGTTCTAGTTCTGTTCTAGTTCTGTTCTAGTTCTGTTCTAGTTCTGTTCTAGTTCTGTTCTAGTTCTGTTCTAGTTCTGTTCTAGTTCTGTTCTAGTTCTGTTCTAGTTCTGTTCTAGTTCTGTTCTAGTTCTGTTCTAGTTCTGTTCTAGTTCTGTTCTAGTTCTGTTCTAGTTCTGTTCTAGTTCTGTTCTAGTTCTGTTCTAGTTCTGTTCTAGTTCTGTTCTAGTTCTGTTCTAGTTCTGTTCTAGTTCTAGTTCTGTTCTAGTTCTGTTCTAGTTCTGTTCAGTTCTGTTCTAGTTCTGTTCTAGTTCTGTTCTAGTTCTGTTCTAGTTCTGTTCTAGTTCTGTTCTAGTTCTGTTCTAGTTCTGTTCTAGTTCTGTTCTAGTTCTGTTCTAGTTCTGTTCTTTCTAGTTCTGTTCTAGTTCTGTTCTAGTTCTGTTCTAGTTCTGTTCTAGTTCTGTTCTAGTTCTGTTCTAGTTCTGTTCTAGTTCTGTTCTAGTTCTGTTCTAGTTCTGTTCTAGTTCTGTTCTAGTTCTGTTCTAGTTCTGTTCTAGTTCTGTTCTAGTTCTGTTCTAGTTCTGTTCTATTTGTTCTAGTTGTGTTCTATTGTGTTCTATTTGTAGTCTAGTTTGTTCTAGTTCTGTTCTAGTTCTGTTCTAGTTCTGTTCTAGTTCTGTTCTAGTTCTGTTCTAGTTCTGTTCTAGTTCTGTTCTAGTTCTGTTCTAGTTCTGTTCTAGTTCTGTTCTAGTTCTGTTCTAGTTCTGTTCTAGTTCTGTTCTAGTTCTGTTCTAGTTCTGTTCTGTTCTAGTTCTGTTCTAGTTCTGTTCTAGTTCTGTTCTAGTTCTGTTCTAGTTCTGTTCTAGTTCTGTTCTAGTTCTGTTCTAGTTTGTTCTAGTGTTCTAGTTCTGTTCTAGTTCTGTTCTAGTTCTGTTCTAGTTCTGTTCTAGTTCTGTTCTAGTTCTGTTCTAGTTCGTTCTAGTTGTTCTAGTTCTGTTCTAGTTCTGTTCTAGTTCTGTTCTAGTTCTGTTCTAGTTCTGTTCTAGTTCTGTTCTAGTTCTGTTCTAGTTCTGTTCTAGTTCTGTTCTAGTTCTGTTCTAGTTCTGTTCTAGTTCTGTTCTAGTTCTGTTCTAGTTCTGTTCTAGTTCTGTTCTAGTCTGTTCTAGTTCTGTTCTAGTTCTGTTCTAGTTCTGTTCTAGTTCTGTTTAGTTATGTTCTAGTTCTGTTCCTTGTTCTAGTTCTGTTCTAGTTCTGTTCTAGTTCTGTTCTAGTTCTAGTTCTGTTCTAGTTCTGTTCTAGTTCTGTTCTAGTTCTGTTCTAGTTCTGTTCTAGTTCTGTTCTAGTTCTGTTCTAGTTCTGTTCTAGTTCTGTTCTAGTTCTGTTCTAGTTCTGTTCTGTTCAGTTCTGTTCTAGTTCTGTTCTAGTTCTGTTCTAGTTCTGTTCTAGTTCTGTTCTAGTTCTGTTCTAGTTCTGTTCTAGTTCTGTTCTAGTTCTGTTCTGTTCTAGTTCTGTTCTAGTTCTGTTCTAGTTCTGTTCTAGTTCTGTTCTAGTTCTGTTCTAGTTCTGTTCTAGTTCTGTTCTAGTTCTGTTCTAGTTCTGTTCTAGTTCTGTTCTAGTTCTGTTCTAGTTCTGTTTCGTTCTGTTCTAGTTCTGTTCTAGTTCTGTTCTAGTTCTGTTCTAGTTGCTAGTTCTGTTCTAGTTCTGTTCTAGTTCTAGTTCTGTTCTAGTTCTGTTCTAGTTCTGTTCTAGTTCTGTTCTAGTTCTGTTCTAGTTCTGTTCTAGTTCTGTTCTAGTTCTGTTCTAGTTCTGTTCTAGTTCTGTTCTAGTTCTGTTCTAGTTCTGCTTCTGTTCCAGTTCTGTTCTAGTTCTGGTTCTGGTTCTGTTCTAGTTCTGTTCTAGTTCTGTTCTAGTTCTGTTCTAGTTCTGTTCTAGTTCTGTTCTAGTTCTGTTCTAGTTCTGTTCTAGTTCTGTTCTAGTTCTGTTCTAGTTCTGTTCTAGTTCTGTTCTAGTTCTGTTCTAGTTCTGTTCTAGTTCTGTTCTAGTTCTGTTCTAGTTCTGTTCTAGTTTGTTCTAGTTCTGTTCTAGTTCTGTTCTAGTTCTGTTCTAGCTCTGTTCTAGTTCTGTTCTAGTTCTGTTCTAGTTGTTCTAGTTCTGTCTAGTTTGTTCTAGTTCTGTTCTAGTTCTGTTCTAGTTCTGTTCTAGTTCTGTTCTAGTTCTGTTCTAGTTCTGTTCTAGTTCTGTTCTAGTTCTGTTCTAGTTCTGTTCTAGTTCTGTTCTAGTTCTGTTCTAGTTCTGTTCTAGTTCTGTTCTAGTTCTGTTCTAGTTCTGTTCTAGTTTGTCTAGTTCTGTTCTAGTTCTGTTCTAGTTCTGTTCTAGTTCTGTTCTAGTTCTGTTCTAGTTCTGTTCTAGTTCTGTTCTAGTTCTGTTCTAGTTCTGTTCTAGTTCTGTTCTAGTTCTGTTCTAGTTCTGTTCTAGTTCTGTTCTAGTTCTGTTCTAGTTCTGTTCTAGTTCTGTTCTAGTTCTGTTCTAGTTCTGTTCTAGTTCTGTCTAGTTCTGTTCTAGTTCTGTTCTAGTTCTGTTCTAGTTCTGTTCTAGTTCTGTTCTAGTTCTGTTCTAGTTCTGTTCTAGTTCTGTTCTAGTTCTGTTCTAGTTCTGTTCTAGTTCTGTTCTAGTTCTGTTCTAGTTCTGTTCTAGTTCTGTTCTAGTTCTGTTCTAGTTCTGTTCTAGTTCTGTTCTAGTTCTGTTCTAGTTCTGTTCTAGTTCTGTTCTAGTTCTTTCTAGTTCTGTTCTAGTTCTGTTTAGTTCTGTTCTAGTTTGTTCTAGTTCTGTTCTAGTTCTGTTCTATTGTTCTCGTTCTGTTCTAGTTCTGTTCTAGTTCTGTTCTAGTTCTGTTCTAGTTCTGTTCTAGTTCTGTTCTGTTCTAGTTCTGTTCTAGTTCTGTTCTAGTTCTGTTCTAGTTCTGTTCTAGTTCTGTTCTAGTTCTGTTCTAGTTCTGTTCTAGTTCTGTTCTAGTTCTGTTCTAGTTCTGTTCTAATTCTGTTCTAGTTCTGCTTCTGTTCCAGTTCTGTTCTAGTTCTGGTTCTGGTTCTGTTCTAGTTCTGGTTCTGTTCTAGTTCTGGTTCTGTTCTAGTTACATAAGTTCTAGTTCTACTGTTATTCCATTCTAGTTAATTTTTGTTTAAGATTCCATTGTGTAATTTTTTTTCCCCAGAAATCATTATACATATGATTATTTAAAAGTCGGAGATAGAAAAGGTTTGCGTCGAAGCGAATTTAGTTTTAGGAATCCCACCGTAATTTATGTTCACAGCAATCTTGAGAAAGCTAGTTCTGTTCTAGTTCTGTTCTAGTTCTGTTCTGTTCTAGTTCTGTTCTAGTTCTGTTCTAGTTCTGTTCTAGTTCTGTTCTAGTTCTGTTCTAGTTCTGTTCTAGTTCTGTTCTAGTTCTGTTCTAATTCTGTTCTAGTTCTGCTTCTGTTCCAGTTCTGTTCTAGTTCTGGTTCTGGTTCTGTTCTAGTTCTGGTTCTGTTCTAGTTCTGGTTCTGTTCTAGTTACATAAGTTCTAGTTCTACTGTTATTCCGTTCTAGTTAATTTTTGTTTAAGATTCCATTGTGTAATTTTTTTTTCCCCAGAAATCATTATACATATGATTATTTAAAAGTCGGAGATAGAAAAGGTTTGCGTCGAAGCGAATTTAGTTTTAGGAATCCCACCGTAATTTATGTTCACAGCAATCTTGAGAAAGCTACAAGCAATCGCAGAGTGCTCAAGCGATTAATAAAGGTAAGTCATATACAATTTCGTAAATGTTTTAAAATTTATTGCTCTTTTCGTTTTTCCAAAGCATTTTTGGAAAAAGGAAGGTACAATGTCATACTCGTCGATTGGAGTAGATTGTCTTCAGCACCCTGGCACGATAATTCTATTCGTAATATAAAAGTTGTTGGCAAACATGTGGCAAAATTTATACGATTTCTTGTAAATGAGGATTATCGTTTGAGAAAGATCCATGTGATAGGTTTTGGTATGGGAGCAGAAGTGGCTGGTTACATAGGCAAAAAATTAAAGAAATGGGACTATAAATTGTCCAGAATAACGGGTATTTAAAGCATATTTGCATGCTTCAAGTACAGGAAATTTGTTATTGTTATTATTTTTTTAAAGGTCTGGATCCACCTTATTATTCATTTAAGCCCGAGAGTTCCTATCGCTACCTGAATTACAAAGTGGCTCGATTTGTTGATATTATACATACCGATGGTAGCTTATCGGGTAATTCAGAAGCAATGGGTCACGCGGATTTCTATCCTAACGGTGGCACTGCTTTACAGCCTGGTTGTATAACTAGGAAAGTTTCTGATGATCGTTGCATTGATTCATTCTGTTAGTACTTGAAGATTTTTCTTAGATATTATTTATTTAATACTGAACAATTTCAATTATAGTTGACTGCAGTCATAATCGTGCTTGGAAATATTTCGCAGAATCTGTTAATAGTCGTTATACTTTTAGATCCAAGATATGCAAACCTTCCAAAACATTTAGATATTGTGAATTTGGTCCTAATGGCAAAGCATATATGGGTTTTTACGCTGATGAAGAGTGAGTGTGGAGTTTTTCAAATATATTTATATTAGTATTATATAAACCAATTATTTATTTTTTTTTTAAGTTTACGTGGTAAATTTTATTTGGATACAAACAGTTACCCTCCCTTTGGAAAACGAAATTAAGGAAAATTTCAGAAGAACACAATTACATGAAGGGGAAGATTTTACACTCAAATCTAATAAAAGAATTATAATAAAATACAGCGAAATTAGTTTCATTGAACTAGGACAGAACTAGAAAGAACTAAAACTGGAACAGAACTAGAACAGAACTAGAATAGAACTAGAACAGAACTAGAACAGAACTAGAACAGAACTAGGACAGAACTAGGGCAGAACTAGAACAGAACTAGAACAGAACTAGAACAGAACTAGAACAGAACTAGAACAGAACTAGAACAGAACTAGAACAGAACTAGAACAGAACTAGAACAAAACTAGAACAGAACTAGAACAGAACTAAAACAGAACTAGAACAGAACTAGAACAGAACTAGAACAGAACTAGAACGGAACTAGAACAGAACTAGAACAGAACTAGAACAGAACTAGAACAGAACTAGAACAGAACTAGAACAGAACTAGAACGGAACTAGAACAGAACTAGAACAGAACTAGAACAGAACTAGAACAGAACTAGAACAGAACTAGAACAGAACTAGAACAGAACTAGAACAGAACTAGAACAGAACTAGAACAGAACTAGAACAGAACTAGAACAGAACTAGAACAGAACTAGAACAGAACTAGAACAGAACTAGAACAGAACTAGAACAGAACTAGAACAGAACTAGAACAGAAACTAGAACAGAACTAGAACAGAACTAGAACAGAACTAGAACAGAACTAGAACAGAACTAGAACAGAACTAGAACAGAACTAGAACAGAACTAGAACAGAACTAGAACAGAACTAGAACAGAACTAGAACAGAACTAGAACAGAACTAGAACAGAACTAGAACAGAACTTAGAACAGAACTAGAACAGAACTAGAACAGAACTAGAACAGAACTAGAACAGAACTAGAACAGAACTAGAACAGAACTAGAACAGAACTAGAACAGAACTAGAACAGAACTAGAACAGAACTAGAACAGAACTAGAACAGAACTAGAACAGAACTAGAACAGAACTAGAACAGAACTAGAACAGAACTAGAACAGAACTAGAACAGAACTAGAACAGAACTAGAACAGAACTAGAACAGAACTAGAACAGAACTAGAACAGAACTAGACAGAACTAGTAGAACAGAACTAGAACAGAACTAGAACAGAACTAGAACAGAACTAGAACAGAACTAGAACAGAACTAGAACAGAACTTGAACAGAACTAGAACTGAACTAGAGCAGAACTAGAACAGAACTTGAACTAAACTAGAACTAAACTAGAACTGAACTAGAACTGAACTAGAACTGAACTAGAACTGAACTAGAACTGAACTAGAACTGAACTAGAACTGAACTAGAACTGAACTAGAACTGAACTAGAACTGAACTAGAACTGAACTAGAACTGAACTAGAACTGAACTAGAACTGAACTAGAACTGAACTAGAACTGAACTAGAACTGAACTAGAACTGAACTAGAACTGAACTAGAACTGAACTAGAACTGAACTAGAACTGAACTAGAACTGAACTAGAACTGAACTAGAACTGAACTAGAACTGAACTAGAACTGAACTAGAACTGAACTAGAACAGAACTAGAACAGAAATAGAACAGAACTAGAACAGAACTAGAACAGAACTAGAACAGAACTAGAACTGAACTAGAACTGAACTAGAACTGAACTAGAACTGAACTAGAACTAAACTAGAACTAAACTAGAATTTAGGGTTTAGATTAACGGTTAAGATTAAAATGTTGGTATGATTTATCGCAACTTAAATTTTTGGCATTGTTCGAAGCTTAAAGTTTATATTTTTTTTAAATCTATTATTTACTTGCTATACATATTTGTACAATTGAATCTACAATGAAAAATTTTAGTAAATAATATAATGTTTAACTTGGGTTGAAACAAGCAACCGCATACTTAATGCTGACTTAAGGTCTAACTTGTTAGCGTATGTTCTTAAAAGTTTAATATTTTAACAGAAATTATACAAAAAGATTTAAATAAAATTTTATATGATGCCAAGTACAAATGAGAATGTAAAATTAACATAAACTTATAAATGTTGTAAATTTTACAAAAATCTATAAACTATTTATTCAGATGATTTTAAATGAAAACCAGTTTAAAATGCAAGTTCAATAAATTAAATGAAGTTCAAGTGTAAATAGGTTTTATGATAAAGACCTTAATAAAATATCTCAAGTTCCATTTATCAATAAAAAACTATTGAATTTATTTTATAATCTAAAATAATAGTTAAACAAAAGTTCTATAGAATTGTTATACCCTACACCACTTTAGTGGGGAGGGTATATTGGATTTGTGCTGATGTTTGTAACATACAAAAATATTCGTCCTAGACCCACCTTAAAGTATACCAATCGGCTTAGAATCGTTTTCTGAGTCGATTAAGCTATGTCCGTCCGTCCGTCTGGCTGGCTGTCCATGTAAAAATTGTGTGCAAGGTACAGGTCGCAATTTTCAAGATAATTGGATGAAATTTGGCATGCACGTTTTATTTGACCTAAGGACGAAGCCTATTGAAAATCGGTCCATTATTTCACCTAGCCCCCATAGAACAGAACCCCCCGAAAAGGGCTTCTGAGCTCATAATTATGTTAAATATGCAGATATATCGGTATACGGCACAACTAAGTTTTATAGAAGTCTTGATGACCCTGCCAAATTTCATAAAGATCGGGCCCCATTTGACCCTAGCTCCCATACAAAGTCCCCTTCAGAAAATTACTTAAATGTCCCAAATTAGCTTATAAACACAAATATCGCGATGAAATTCAGCACAATAAAATATTATGTCAATATAAATATATTTACAAAATTTTATCGGGCTTGGTCCATATTTGCCCCTAGCCCCCATATAAAGCCTCTTTCAGCAAATTAGTTTTTCATCCATAAATTGTTTAAATGTATCGGAACAAGGGAATATTGAAGATAAATGCTTTATTATGAAAAATAAATCACATTTAATATTCATAACTGGTGTAGGGTATCATATGGCCGGCCACGCCCGACTATAATTTCTTACTTATTTTTTTGTTGTTGTTGTGGTATGAAACCTTAAACCTATAATTAAAATTTAAAAGTTTATTTTGAAATTAAGCTGCTAAATAATAATTTTATATTAAAAAACTATTATTAAGTTTATTGCTTATTTGGACAAGCTTATTTAAGGGTGGTTTCAAATTTATTACGCATAACTGGAGTAATTCTAAAGAAAATTTTACAATTATCTGGGTGTTATATCTAAAACACCTTTCCTATTTCATTCCAAACACATTCAAACACATTTAATATTGCCACCGCTAAATACCGTCTAAACACGAGATTAACATTTTTAATCAATATTAAATATATTTTTACTAAAATGGCCACACACGGAACTAAAAAATTGTTTTTATTTTCATTCCATATAAATCCGATTTCAATTGATTGTTTATTCACCACCCATTGTAAAAAGATTTTGCATAAATAGATTAAACATGTTTTACACAAAAGCACGCGTCTGGATTTAAAGGAAAAGTTTCTTTTGTTTTAATAATCTGTTTGTTTTTGTTGTGGTATTTTGATAAAACATTTTCAGCAATAAAAATCGGAAGACTTCAACAATAAAACACAATTGCTTTAAGAATAACAATGAGTTTAAAAATAGCTCTCTTAAGAGATAGAGGGTGTAAGATTTATAAATAGATTTTTTTTTTTTATAAAAATAACAAAAAATGGGTGTGAATTGTAAATTGTAGACAATGTGCAATAGGAAAACAACAATAATAAGTTAATAATAGTAGCAATAAAATTACAATTACAAAATATTTCTAAAATATTTCACAATTTTTTAAGATTGATAGTCTAGTCTATAGTCTGGACTATAGTCTAGTCTATAGTCTGGACTATAGTCTAGTCTATAGTCTGGACTATAGTCTAGTCTATAGTCTGGACTATAGACTAGTCTATAGTGTGGACTATAGTCTAGTCTATAGTCTGGACTATAGTTTAGTCTATAGTCTGTACTATAGTCTAGTCTATAGTCTGGACTATAGTCTAGTCTATAGTCTGGACTATAGTCTAGTCTATAGTGTGGACTATAGTCTAGTCTATAGTCTGGACTATAGTCTAGTCTATAGTGTGGACTATAGTCTAGTCTATAGTCTGGACTATAGTCTAGTCTATAGTCTGGACTATAGTCCAGTCTATAGTCTGGACTACAGTCTAGTCTATAGTCTGGACTATAGTCTAATCTATAGTCTGGACTATAGTCTAGTCTATAGTCTGGACTATAGTCCAGTCTATAGTCTGGACTATAGTCTAGTCTATAGTCTGGACTATAGTCCAGTCTATAGTCTGGACTATAGTCTAGTCTATAGTCTGGACTATAGTCTAGTCTATAGTCTGGACTATAGTCTAGTCTATAGTCTGGACTATAGTCTAGTCTATAGTCTGGACTGTAGTCTAGTCTATAGTCTGGACTATAGTCTAGTCTATAGTCTGCACTATATTCTAGTCTATAGTCTGGACTATAGTCTAGTCTATAGTCTGGACTATAGTCTAGTCTATAGTCTGGACTATAGTCTAGTCTATAGTCTGGACTATAGTCTAGTCTATAGTCTGGACTATAGTCTAGTCTATAGTCTGGACTACAGTCTAGTCTATAGTCTGGACTACAGTCTAGTCTATAGTCTGGACTATAGTCTAGTCCTATAGTCTGGACTATAGTCTAGTCTAAGTCTGGACTACAGTCTAGTCTACAGTCTGGACTACAGTCTAGTCTATAGTCTGGACTATAGTCTAGTCTATAGTCTGGACTATAGTCTAGTCTATAGTCTGGACTATAGGTCTAGTCTATAGTCTGGACTATAGTCTGGACTATAGTCTAGTCTATAGTTTGGACTATAGTCTAGTCTATAGTTTGGACTATAGTCTAGTCTATAGTTTGGACTATAGGTCTAGTCTATAGTCTGGACTATAGTCTATAGTCTGTACTATAGTCTGGCCTATAGTCTAGTCTATAGTATGTACTATAGTCTATTCTATAGTATGGACTATAGTCTAGTCTATAGTCTGG